CTCGTTGACAAAGAATCGTAAGCTAAAGACAAGGAGGAGAGACAGGCGTACGAAAAGAGAGCGGTCCTAGTAAGACCGCGGGCATTGTTAGGAGCACGCACCAGGAGGCACCGAGCCCACTCACCTGCGCTGCGTGGCCGCGAAGGCCGGGTAACCGCGGCCTCACGCTGGGGCTCTCGACCCGGGCGCGCCTTACCCGGCGGGCGCCGGCCTCCTCTCCCTCGGAGGAGAGTTCGGAGAAGCCTCGGCCCCACGCGCGCCAGAGTGGAGCGGAGCGGGAGGCGCAGCGGCGGGTCAGTGCAGGCGGGTCCCCAAGGACCGGAGACGCGCTGGTTCCCAGCCGAATGGGGCTCTGCAGCCCCCGACCCGCGCCCTTTACCTGTGCCACAACCAGACGCAGAAGCAGGAGGAGGCCCCCGGTCCGGGCCCGCGACCCTTTGGCGCTGCCCAGAGCTAGCCTGAGAGAAGGTGACGGGGGCGCGTCCGTGGATCTGGGCCAGGCCGGGCTCCCCCCGAGCGGAGGGTACCGAGGGCTTTCCTCCCTCTCAGATTATTAAAAAGTTCATTTCCTGGCGAATCGGGTGACGTCAGGGGCCCGGCGTCGCGGTGGCGGGGCCGCCCGGCCGGAGAAGCCGCCTCCAGTTACCCAATTACCGACTGTCAATCCCGTTGCCCTTCCCCCCACCCTCCCGGTGGTGGCCCGGACCCCCGCCCTCCCTCCGGCCCGGGACCCACTTGGGTTCTCTTGGGCATCTACCCGGAAAGCCGTGGACCCAGTGAGGGGAAAGGGGTTTGGAGGACGTTGATTACTTCCCATTACCCCCGCACCTGTCTAAGTCCCCCCCAAATTTCTTTGTTCCCGAGCCCCCTCCTCGGCCATGGGCTCCCTCGGAGCCTCGGTCTCCTCCGTCTGTACAATGGGAGACAGCCGGGAGATTCCTGCACCGGGCCCACTCCACCCACAGAGCTGGATCTCTGTGCTGCTGGAGGTATGTGAGGAGCAGTTCCAGGTGGCTTAGGGGACCGAGTTCTCAGACCATCCCCTCCTTCTTCCCAGGGGTGGCCTTAGGGAACACCGGGAGGGGGGTGGAAAATGCCTCCTTCTGCCCGGAGGCGTCTCCTTCGAGCCGGCGCCGGCGCCAGTCCGGGTCTCTACGGCCTCGCCCTAGGCAGTTCGGCCCGTTTGTCTGCGAAGGCCACGCCTGGGAAGGGGACGCCCCCTCCCCGTCTCTGGAGTCTCCGGCCAGGCCACCTCCACCCGGTCAAGCATAGTCGTAAGTGGCCTGGTACCCGAGGCCCAGGTGCCCACTAGACCCCATAGTTCCTGCCCTTCACCGCTCCTACTGTTCTGCTGCTGTTCTCCCCCCACACACAAACACACCGCCCAGCCAGCGCCCGAGTTGGGGGAGTGAACGGTCTGGGTAGGTAGTTGGACTTCAACTGGTCACGTTCAGTGGTGAAAGACCCGAGAGAGTGGAAGGGATGGCGCCCGGGGGAGGGGGACACCCAGACACCCAGAGTGTGCGCGTCCAGGGCTCCCAGGGAGGGGCCTCCAGTTGGAGGTTAGTTACTGGGAGGAGGTTGCAGAGATTAAGAGGATCCCGGAGTGTCCGCACGAGGGGGCGCAGCTGTCAGCCTGCAGAGTGAGGGTCGGGTGGGGGGGCGTTGGCAGCAGGGGCCACGGTGAGGGCGCTAGGAGGGCGACTGAGAGCGGCGGGGACCTGCAGGCGGAGGGGGCCCTCAGGCGGAGGGGGCCCGCCAGCGGGTCAGTCCCTGAGTCCGGCCGAGTTGAGGGCTTAGCCAATGGAGGGCGGAGGCTGGGCGGTGCATGGCGCTGATTGGCTGGCGCGGGCTTCTTAGGCGTGCTCGGCCCCCGCTTCATGTCTGTGCAGGAGTCGGGAGCTGGCGCCAAGGCAGCCGGAGGATGCCGAGGGGCCGGAGCCGGGTGGGCCTGAGGCCGAGGCGTGCGCTGCCCCCCTTTCCTATCCCTTGAGCCACGCCAGCCGCCTGACGCGCTGTCCCCTGGATCCACCACACCCGGGCTCCCGCGGGTGCTGCTCCCCCTCAAGGCCGCGCCCCTCTCCCGGTGGTGTTGCGTGTGTAAGTTTGGGGTGCGAGGGCTGGCCCGGGGCACGCCAAGCACTGAGAGGTCTCTGTGGGGACTCAGGCTGCGGGTGACTGACTGCTGTGGTGTGCCTTGGTGAGAGGTCCTGATTGTGCTGCCTGGGAGTGCGCGCGGCGGGGGCGGGGNTGTGTGCGCTAATGCATGTGCACAAATGTGTGCGTGTCTGTGTGAGCAGTACTGGAAATATGTTGGGAAGGAGGAGCAGAGCAGGCATCTGTGTACGAGAGTGTGTGCGCCTTTGGCTGTAGAGGGTCCCCCGGGAGAGCCTGGGAAGAGAGACGTCCAGGCTTTCTGTGCGTGCATCCCTAAGAGCAAGGGTGCATGTATGTACGTCCCTGCGAGGACGGAAGTGTTCTGGGGTATTGGGGGAGTAGGGTGTGTGCGCCTCGAGTGCCTGCCGGCCCTCGACCTGCCGCGGGTCACTGGACCTGGTCCAGAACCCCAGGCACCCTCTTGCTCTCCTGCGGCGTTCCTGCCCACTCAAAGTGCTGTGGAAATAAAAAGCAGAGGCCGCTGAAGCACCGGGAGGGAGAAGTAGAGAGAGCGAGAGGTAGGGAGGCCAGCGCCGCCGGGGCTCGCCGCTGGTTTCTATGTCCAGGCTGCCGTGGCCTCCACCCCAGCCGTCCCCTGTCGGCCACCGGGGGAACAAAAGCGGCCCGCCGCGCAGCACGCGGCTGCTCGGCGCGCTGGCTGGACCCTGCTGGTGAACTCAGCCAGCCCGCGCCGGATCCTGCGGGCCCACCTAGGCACACACCGTGCTGTGCCCCTCGCCCCGCTCCGGCCCCTTCCGCCCGGGGGCGCCGCCCGCCGAACCTCGCTCGGTAAGTCTCCGCGTCCCTGTCTCACTAGGGCCCTTCCAGCCCCCATGCTCGACCCACTCGACACCCTAATTGCACGGTCTGCCTGCCAAAGGGGCCCCTGACATGTAGTGCTATAGGCTCGCCCGACGAGTCTCTGGAGCCCCAGGTCATAGGGGCCTAAACCTGAGGGAGTATTTGGGGAGCCGAGGACCACCTCGGGCCTCTCGCCTTCCCATTTCTCAGATGGAGCCATAGGCCTCGAGTCCCGGTTATTCTCAGAGCCTTGCCAAACGCCCCCCTCCCAGATGCCTAGCTGGGGCCTTTGTCTCCATCACCCTCCACCTCCCGGGCGGATGCGGCGGAGCCAGGCTGCAGAGCCGCGTCTGCACCTGCCGGCGGGTCCCGTGCGCCGGCTTTGCGCGGCTTATCCCGGTTTGCTCCTGCTTGCGCCCCCGAGCGCCGCGCGCCGCGGCCCTTTATCCTGTGCGATTGGGGTATGGGAGGGGGAGAGCTCGGGGTCTGGAAGTCTATCCCTTGCCCCAAGCCGGAGTTGGAATCCTTTTAGTGGGATTTCAATAAGAATGGGGCCTCGGCGGGCTGGGGGGATCTGTGGCCGGGAGGCGTGGGCAGCAGTTTGGATTTGTCTGGATGCCCGGCACTTAGAATCTTTTCGTGGAGGCCAGGCTTGAACTCCAGGTTGCCCCAGCCGCGAGGGGAAAGGTCTGGTGTTCAGGGCCTCCGGGTGTGGCGGCCGCTCCTTTCCCGGAAAACGTGGAAGGAAATTCGTTGTTTTGGAAAAAGCCACGTCTCCCGGGGTCGGGAACATGTGGCGGTGAGCTTTGGGGTCTATAAAGACACCTTGCGCTGGGATTCATTTATGAGTAGGCAGGATTCGAGAAACAGGTAGGGCCAGTGCGGCTGCCCAGGCGTCTGGAGAGCGTTTTCCAGCCGGGTTGACAAATTGCAAACAAATTGCTTCTAACGAAACGGATTTACCAGTTGTCATACGGCGGGCCGCCGGGCGCTCTGAGTAAACCATGACTATTCGCGGAGGAGGCTCGATTGTCCGCCGTCTCAGTAAAGCCACTGGGGGAGGAAGCCCGGCTTGGATGTGGGGTTAGAACCTGGTAAGGAGATACAGGATCTCCGAAGTTCTTCTACCCCAGGCGCTGAGACGTCTAAGAGGTTGGGCGCCAGTCTTTACGATTCAAAAGGGACTCAGAAGACAGAAGGGTGGAAGAGCCAGCATGGAAGCCAGAGGAGAGGGAGCCTTCAGATTTTGGGGTCTGGAAGTGAAGCCCAAAGAAAAGGAAGGGCTATTGGAGCTCTGATCCCCCTATTGGGGAAACCCTCTGGAGGGATTGCTGTGACCTGAGCAGATCTGAGGCCTTGCCCTAGAGGGGACTTCTGAACCCCTCTGGCTAAAGAGGCCCTTACTTCCTCCTTAGTACCCTTCAAGATACATTTGCCAGTGTGGGGTTGGGAGGCCGCTGTGGTGCAAATTAAATATCTCTGTGGAGGGCAGTCCTTAAGCAAACAGATTTCTTTGCCGACTCCCCCCCCACACACACACACCCCACCCACACACATACACATACACACACTGTCTGCCAATTAGATGCCCATAGGAAAAGGCGAGAATAATTAGTTTACAAATAGGGCAAACTTGTGGTCCCAGAGGGGCCACCTCCGATGAGCAAAGTTTAAACAAAGGGCGTGGAGGAGAGGGCTACGTGGGGCCTGGAACACCTGGATAATCGAGAGCCGGGCCCAGGAGGCCCTGTAGAGCCGGGCTTTGGATCCCTGCGTCCCCAGATCTGGGGAGAGAGCATCTCGGGCGGCACTGACCCACACTCCGCCGCCAGGGAACCTCGGGTCACATGGAAAAGACATCAGAAAATTCAGTTCTGCTGCTGCTCTTGCCCAGTCCTTAGTGAAATCTATTCCCGTGCAAAATCTGAGTGCGATCAAAAGGCAGCGGCCCACGTTTGCAATAACTCTTGGGAAAGCACAGAAAAAAGAAAAGGGGAGCGTGTCCCTCCGAAAATGCTCAGGAGACCCCCAAGTCCGAGGCTGTGAACGGAAGTAATTCTGCTCTCCTTCCGCCGAGGTTGTCCCTGCCACCCCGCGGATCTTAGGGGCTGCCCTGACCCTCCCGGGACATTTGTTTGGGCAGAAGTGCTAGGATGGTCTCCGCTGCTGTCTAGTGGGCGAGGCGCTTGGCTGGTGTCGGTCTGTCTGGCATAGACATACACTCACGAGCAGCCCCCATTTATTGGTCAGCTGGGCACCCTGCTGCCTGGAGCCTTGCTTTTCTCTCCTAGGTGGGTTCGTTCCTGCGGGAGAACGCAGCAGTCCCGCGTCCCGCGTCCAACGCAGGCATACCAATCAATGTGGAGGCTTCGGCCAAGCCGGATGCCTGCCTGCATTTTCGAGAAAGGCAACCCCAGGGCCTCAGGAGACCTGGCGGGGCTCCCTTTCCCTTTTTTTCTCTCGACCGGGATTGCAGGAAGGGAGGCTGGTGCGTATCTCCTGAGGCCCCTGCTCAAGCATTGCTTAACTGCCCTGCTAAGCTCCTCCGCACAGCGATTTTCTGAGCCGCCAAACGAGGTTAATTAAATCCCCGCCCGAGCTCCGTTCAGCGCCAGATTGGCGGGCAATGCAGGGCAGCCACTTGCAGGGGGCCCGGCCAGGCCAGTCACCTCCACACCTGAGGTGGCCAGAACGCTGCCCCGGAGGGGCTTCAGGCTTCCCCGGAGGAGCTTGAAGCTGAGCTCGGGGTGATGAACCTGCAGACCCACCTACACGGGGGATAATCTGAACCGCGCCTTTGGGACGAAAAGGTGAATTACCTGCTCTTCCGGGAGCTCGGAGCCGTCACCTCTGCGAGCCCGAGCGCTGATCGCCGCTCCACGGGAAGCTTGCGTTTTGCTCCGGCGTTCACGGCCCGGCGGCTCGCCAGCAGGCCGTCGGCCTTT